TCGTGGCTCCTCCGAGTTTAATCCCATGGCTTTTGTGAAAATTTATGAAATCTGGTCAGCCGTTTTTGAGAAAACGTTGACAAAATTCAATTTTTGACTCATCACAACACAAAAGCGACTTTCAATACTTTGACTATCATATTTTTTCAAAGTTTGATGAATTGTTAAAATTATACAACTTGTCGTAGGGCCGTAAAATATTTGTATGTTTAGTATGACCATGATCCTCTCATCAAAAAAAATTCATCAAAATGGTTCAACATTTTTTTCAGCATTTAATTACGAGGAAACGGATCGACTGATCTTTACCAAAAACTAGCCAATGCGATTCCCAACCAATATCTTTCAAACAGTTTTTGAATTTTCAAAATCTATTCAAAATTCCGAGCTAAAACGTGATAGAAATTTTTTTCACTTTTTTGCTAAATACAAAGAAACAGCTTAGCCGATGCAAAATTTATCGATGCAAGTAATCCTTATTAGGGCAGATGAAATAGCATTTAAATTTTTAAAATCGGTCCCAAGATCAAAAATCGGCTCACACGCACATACTTTTTCCAAATTTGGTCTCATTCGATTTAGAATATCTTGAAATGTCGAGAAAACATAAATTTAGCAAATCGATTTTCTGGACAAAACATATACTTTTCCTCCAAGAAATTAAAAATAAGGCAACAAAAAAATAAATCAATGCATTTTTGTTTCCATTATTTCTACGTAAGACGCAATAAATACTGAGCAATAATTATTAGCATGTTAACACAATGACTCATAATAACAATAGAGTAATTTAAAACGATTATAAAAGTTATATGCAAACGCGACAATATTTTTTACAACAACAAATATATGACTCGTATTCCTGGAATTTTACTAAAGGAAATCTTATGTTTATAACGATGTCATCGACCATATTTACAAGTCGATATTATGTTTCAAATTTCAATATTAATAAAAAAATTAATTTTTTGAAGAAGAAAGTGTTGTACTTTCTTTGCTAATTTTATGTTTTCTCGACGCCTCAAGTCATTCTGAATCGTTTGCGACCAAAAATTGGAAGTAGTACAAAAACGGTTGCACCGATTTTAAAAATTTCAAAGCCATTCGATGTAACTGGATAAGGATTTGCGTTGGTTATAAATTTTGCTTGACGATCAGCCAAGCCATTTCTTTATAATTATCACAAAAGTGCAACATTTTGCATACATGTTTTGCAAAAAATTCTGAATTTAAAAAATTTAAAACCGTTCGACATATATCATTTCGAAATCGTGCTCATGAGTGTAGAGCCCATGAAATTATCAACTCGGATGTTTTGACGAAAAAATAAACTTCTTCTTCAGGAAGTTAAGAATCTTTCACAAATTATCAGTAAGCAAAAGTACATTGGTAATAACATAAAAATATAATGATCAGAATTGCTCAGGAATATAAATATTATTAACGCAAAATCATTTCAAGTGTTATTTCCACAATGATTTGCAAAATTGTTATTTAGTTCTCATAAGCAGATTAATCGACAAAACGGTGCAAATATGCATTTATTTTATCATTGGATAGACTATTGGTGAATGGCATCGTGCCTCAAGATAAATTGCTGGAACTTCGCGTACCAAAAACTAAATTATTAAAAAAAACTTTGCGAATCTTTGAAAAAAATGGATTTTTGAGAAATTTTGATTTTTTTGAAAAGAAAAGACTTTTTGGAAAAAATTTGATTTTTTTTATATTATTTTATTTTTTTTATGTATTTTAATTTATTTTGAAAATTATGAACATTTTTTAAGCAATCACGCTACATAGCTGATTTGGAGTCGAATTATCAAAGCGCCGCGTACTCGTCTAACGTGTAAACATTCGTACGGAACCCACATAAATATGCACAAAATTTGTACTTATTATTATAATCTTTATAACATATCTGATAATGCGATATACATATGTCTAATGTTCAGTTTTGGCCGCCAAATGGCATTATTTTTCACTATTTTTATCTCCGGGGACGCTAGACCTGCCTCTACAAAAATTCATTAGTTGTTCATTTTGTCAATACAAGTAAAATGTTTTTTGAATTATTTAAATCGGATGCTCCCGTTATCTCAAAAACTGAAATACTATTTTTGGTACTTTTTGCCCCGTATCTCCGAAACGGCTAGACCTGCCTTTGCCAAAAACTAATCAGCACGCCTTCTTATCAGTAGGAATCGAATGCTTTTTGAATTATTCAAATCGGTTAATCCGTGTTCGCAAAATCGTCGACCCTACGGGAAGTTAATTATTGTTGCATTAACATATGGCAATTTTCAAAATCTCTCTGACAATGGTCAGAAGATTTTGTATTTTCAAAGTCATTTTTTTTATCCTACAGTTTTACTTGTTGTCCATATCAGAACAGGTGTAAAAATTACAAGAAAAAAATCATTGAATAGTATTTCTTTTTTATTCTAATGAAACGATCCAGTTTTCAACGGTGATAAAACTATGAATCAAACTGAAAATGAATAAATTGTAGTATTAAGGACTCGTGTTAATAGAAAGTAGTGTTAGTTACTTGATGAGCTTTCAAACTGGTTTCTTGTTGGAAATATTGCAAACTCGATTTAGTAAAAAAAAATCTTATATTTTTTATTTTGACTATTTGTATGTAATTAATAGCATGCAATTTTTCAAAGAAAATGATTGCTAAATGTTTAATATGGAAAAATTGTTGAAGCTGTAAACAGACAAGCGATTTTGTAATTTAGGTGAAGTTTTTAGTATACGTTCAGTATAGTATTCTTATAATAATTTTTCGAGACAGTTTCAAAGTAGACAAAAAATTCGGATAATTAAAGACAATTGGTGAAATTTTTATGGTATCGCAATAATATACTAAACTAGGTGTAAGAGGCATTTTGCTTAAACCAAGTTGCATGAACCTTGCGATATGTGTAAAAATAAACAAGAAGTTAGATTTAATTATATAAATAAAAAATTTCAATAATGGTGGCTTTTTTCCTGAGATGACAACAAATATCAATATTTATAACCTTCGCCTAGGCTTTTCAACCTGAAATAACATTTTTATAAGTTTAAAATACACTTTTTTTAACTTTCCTTAGGGTTAGTAGTAATGGGTCAAAAATCGAAAATGAAATTTTTGCATATCTCTGCTTTTCAGGAGTTTCTGAATATTTTGGCATACCTCAGAAAAAATGGATTTGTGTGTGTGTATGTATGTGTGAATACAGTTTTTCGTATACGTTTTCGGGAGTACCGCTCAACCGATTTGAATGATTGAAAAAGCTTTTCTAGTAAATATTCCTACTATTGAGCATTAGCGCTGATTAGTTTTTGGAAATGGTTTTTAATTTATAATATTTTTTAATATCGAAAATAATTCGGATTTTAATTTTAATTCTAGCTAAAATACTTCAAAAAAATATTTTAACTTAGCAATTCACTTTATATAATTCTTAGAATTTTGAGACGAGGTTCTTTTTTCTAACTCCCCATCGAAGGGGAACATTAAGTTTCGTTAATTTATTTTTTAAGTAAACTTATATAAACATCATCATCCAATTTATTAGCTTTTTATTTTGTCATACATTACGAATGATGCAAGTTACAGTATAATATAGTAATAGATTATAAAACATTTAATATTTGAAATATTTATCACAGTAAATTGATATATCACACTAAGGAAGTCCAGCAGCAATTTGCCTTAAGACATGATGCCATCGCTACTAGTAGTTTGTTTTTTTATTAGCGTTTTTTATTAAGATGACCATATTTTTTACGTCAAATTCAGGACAGGGAAGAGGGGAGTTAAGTTCCTAATAAATTTATGGATGCAATAAAAATCAGTTTTTTTTTTATAAATGAGTCGCACTTTTAATCAGAATTATTATAGTATAAATATCTCATATTTTTCGATCCATACGTTTTTTCGCTTTTAAGTTTGTATACAATTTTGTGCAATTTTCTTTATAATTACCTTACAAGCCTTGTTAATAAAAATTATTAATATTAAGTTAATTAAAAATAAAAGTTAATTGCGCCAGGTAGTCTGAAAGTTAATTTTGTAATTTTACGAATTTTCGTAAAATTGAAAATGAAATTTCGAAGGTATCAATATGAAAGGCTATTTTTACTGAAAATGTTCGAACTTTTTTGAAAAATTAGTCAAAAAATAAATACATGTGACACCTTACTATACCAACCCTCCCTTCCCCACGTGATATTTTGTCCATGTACTTTTTGCTTACTGAATGGGATTGAAAGGCGTGGAAGATTTTTAGATTGTTAAAATTCCTACGAATTCACTTTCAAATAATAAGTTTATCTGATGTCTACTAATATATAATCTACAGAAAATGCATCGATGTCGGACTATGTAATCTAATCGAAATTCCGTGAATAGCAATCAATAATCGCATGTTTATATTGCATTATGATAATATTAAAACAAATAATAATTTATTCAAAAATAAGATCGTTATATGCATCTTCCAAGCAGATATGATAGGCATAAACAATCTGTTACATATATAATTTATATATTATAATAAGTCGTTAATTTTAAATTACACGCGCGCGCACACATGCATATGTTTATTTGTTCGTGTATGTACACAAAGCCGGACATATCAACATTTGTGTGTATTTATAATCGTGAATGCGCCAGTCAGAAAATGGAAAACAAAACAATATTATTGTAATTGCAAGTGTTCTGAGGTTACCAGGAATTTTCCCTTTGTTCGGAATTTTATCTTAAAACTATGTTATCTACTGCGTACCAAACGATAAATATATTTAGAAAAAGTTGATGACATTTTATTACGCAATTTCGAAGAAAATTAGAAATTCTTTTGAAAGTCAGATAGATTGATTGATTGTGATTAAAACACGTTTTTATGTAATAATATAACAATTTAATTTCTTTATGACAAGTACATGTTAAATTATATATGCAAATTAATGTATAATTATCTATAATATAAAATATATCTATTCTCTATTTACATGATTCTGAATATTTTCGTCGTTGATGGGTTCTTAGAATTTGGTGTCAGTGGTCCTGAAACAGGCGTCAGACCTGTGCCGCCTTCCATCAAACTCTCAAAATTGAACGGTATACCCGTCGAAGGAGTGGTTATTGGAATCCCAGCAATCTCAGGAACATTCTTCAATATTTGCGTCTGGGAAGGCGGCAGCGTTAAAGGCAGGTTCAGCAAATTCGGCCGGTTCGGTTTACTTACTAAACACTCCGCCGTACTCGTATATACAGAAGGAGTTGATGTGATTTTGGTGATTATAGGGTCCGGATTCATTACTGGATCCTGATTCGGCGATAGGCTTTCTTTGGGTAATGATAATTCGTCGTCCAACGGTTCCAATTTGATTAAAGGCGGGTCTGAAGCAGCCAAAAGCGCTGCAAATGGTTTGATGTCGGTTGGACTTTCAGGCCGGGAGTTATTCCCAGATTGGAAAAGCTTTTTACAGCAGGCACGATGTGTTTCTAATAAGAATTCTAGATCTTGTTTTTCAAGTTCTAATTGGTGTATCTCTCCTTGCAACGTTTGACGTTTTCTTTCCAACTGTTCTGTTTCATCAATCAACTCATTCGTGTGGTCCATCCTGCGCTTCCTGCACCTCGCCGCTGCCATTTTATTCCTTTCCCTCCTGATGCATCGCCTTTCTTCTTCCTCGGGGCTGATGTTGGTCGCTTTGGTTGGTCTTCGGCCGCCCGTGCTTCGACGGTTCGTCCTGGTGTTCGTCGTGGCCATCTGTTGCGACGTCGTGTCCATTTCGCTCTGAGAAGGACCTTGCCATGAACCGGAGGTGCTCATACTGGTGCGGCTGTCACAATCATCAGAAATTCCCCCCGATTATCGATCCGCGGGATGTGTTGTCGATAAACGACGTTATTTCCTGCGTTATCTGTTGAGCAGGGGGCGGCACGAAACCGGCCTGGTGGCTGGATTGGCGCAAGGTTTCGCTACTCTGGAGTTCGTAGAAAGTTTGCTCGATGTTTCTGAGAGTGGTGGGTGTTAAAGTGGGCGTGGTCCTGGTTGGCACGCCGCTATGCAGCCCATCCAGAGAAACTAACATATTTTTTAGTGTTTAACAGTTTCTATAACATTTGGTAATGGAGAAACAGAACGGCGGGGCGATCACTGCGTTGTCAATGTCAGAGGAGAGAACGATATTGTATAATATTAGCACTGAATTTCACTAAACTAAAAGCTAAACTATTTATTGCAAAAATAACTTTGTTTTATTATATAACTAGTTTCGATCACAAAACTAAACTGTTGGTATTATTTATCTATCACTCGCGTAGTGTGTACTATTATATCTGGCACTAAATTGAAGTTAATATTAGCACAAACAGTCAACCATCCATTCTACGCAGTAGAGAACGTGCACTGTCACTGAATTGAATGTGTACACTCAACCCGAGTCCGCTATCGACCGTCCCGACGGTGCCGATCGGCCGTCCGAAGTCGTTCGGGAGCGAGCGAGACGGCGCATCGCATGAGCGCTGCCAACATACGTCATACATATTCCCTGAACGGGAATGAGTCATGCTTACGTGTTTTATCGATGTGTTGACTCACCGTGTAAATTTACACGATGGATTCTGCGAAAAAATTTCGATATAGGTTGCTGCTGCGCTGTTTGTAAATACTCTTACTTACTCTTAAATGCAATTATAAAAGAAATTTTTAGTAGGAAATCATTATATGGTATTTTTAAATAATTTATATTAACTGCACGGTGCATGGCATCGTGCTATAAGGCAAATTGCTGGAACGTCCCGTACCATTGTATCAACATATTTAGCCTGAATTAAAATTAAAATCCATTAATTTTTTTTTACTATCCC